TCTATGCTCAAAATGCGGTCCGGAGAGCATGTGAAGACAGGCGCCAGTCAACCAGTAATTGTAAATAACCTATAATAAATTGAGTGGAAGCTATGAGGTGTAAGTGAGTCGAAAAACACTTGTTAGCAATACGAACTAAACCTTTTATTATTCCTCGAATACTATACAAGTTCGGCGTTTTTTTACATTGGCGCACGCTCATCGACAACCCGTATTGCCGGGACGCTCGCTGCTCTTTGTTATTGGAGTCGTCGCATGCACGCTTCGAATGTCGGAAATTAATAATTAATCATGCAACCGCGATCGCGAAATTAAGCTGGCCAGCTTACCTTATTATTGCGGGCGATCGAAGGAAATACAGACAAATCGCACAGAGCGGAACAGTTTTTGATTGTTTGTCGCCGGTCGCGAATTCGCGCACGTTATGGTTTCGCCCTCGATGGCGAAACCTCACACACACACTCTCGTCCTGGCCTCGAACTGGTAGCTGGATGGCACCTTGGCGGCTACAATCACGGATAACTGGCTGTTGCTGCTTTAGCGTGTTGATGTTGACGGCTCGTGGATCGGCGATAGCGATAGCGAAAGCGGGCGGACTCAATGATAGTCGAAGCTTCACTAGTTCGGTTTCAATCGCGCGCGTTCCGTCCGCCCGCGTGCCGAATTCCTTCGTTACCAATTTCGTCCCCCCGGCAGGTGCTGCCCTCCCAGACAGCAATTAAATTAGGTTATCAGCGCTAATTTGACGTTTCCGTCACAGACTATAGAAATGAATGGTGAACAATATTCAATGGTAAATGAGTCAATTGAATCAATAGATTTTTATCATTGAATAGTTTTTAATAACTTTGGATATTTGATGACTATTGGAATGAATGAGATTCTATGATACTTAACAATTCTGTACTCATTGCCAAGTTTGAATCAATAGTAAAAATATTTAACAATTTATTTTACTACTATGTAATCACTATTGAATAGATTCAAATGACGCAACTTTTCTAACTGGTATATCGTAAGTATAACATTGTGATTCGTAAAGAATGAATTAATTCCATCATTATGATTGTTTATTCTCTACAATTGTCATTTATTGAATTATATAAAAAAAACCATTAAAATAGATTCAATAAGAACATTATTTTTAAAACAATCAATAAAATGTATGAAATGTATTAAAACTAAAAAAATCTATACAGCACCCATTTGCCTTACATTGGAATCGACATAAAACTATTCCATTGAATACAATTGAGAATTTATTCTTGAAACTATTATTAAAATGTATAATAGAAAATCATAACATTGAATACGATTACATGTATCACCCGTTCATCATACATTGAAACCGATTGAAAATTGTTAGATTGAGACCAATTGAGTATTTATTTTTCAAATAATCGTTAGAATTTATAGAATATAGTTACGTTAAGTATGATTATATATAGTAGCCATTCATCATACGTTGAAACCTATTGAAAACTGTTCGGTTGAGTCTAATTGGGAAATTATTTTTTAAACGATTATTATTATCTATAGAATATGGTTCCACTAGGTACGATTGGTTACAGTACGCTTTCATCATACATTGAAATCTATAAAAAACTGCTCGATTAAGTACGATTGGGGAATTTTTTCGACATAAGTCTTTTGAAACTCATTAAATGCGATTCAATAAAATACCATTGAATCGATTTTTATTAAAAGTATTGTTTATAATGATTTATTACGATTTAAATTAATTGGAATTTTACTTTTCATTACTAATGCCATTAATTACCATTGAAAATAATGCATTTTCAATCGCCGCTTAAACATTAATTCCATTGAACACAATTGATTACTATTCAATATAAACCATTCTTAATAGAAACCAATAAATTTTTTTCAGCAGGATTTTCAAAGTTCATTATTATGAGAAAGAATGGCATAGGAATTTCTCAATGAATCAAGTACACTAAAATTATTAAATATTATTGGCAGCAGGTTTGTGAATTATATTCAGCATCAAAGAAGCATCAGTTTTATCATCCAAACAAAACTAACGATATTTTTCTATTGGAAGTGTAAACCTTATTTTACAGGACCTTTATAGTCCATAGAACTGTTAACTTTATATTCCAGTGTGGCTTTTTTTTAGTTTCTGTTAACCTCAAATACAATTAATAATTTCTAATTAAAGTTAAAACAGAAGTCAAATTTCTTATGTTTTTATGTCAATGCTGTTTGGGTGATTCTCATGAGCGCCGTCGCCGTCTGTGCGCCAGAGGCCGGCGGTAGTGGCGACATCTCGAGCAGTTTGACCGTCCCCCCTTTTTTTTCGCGCGGTCTTCTCTTGTACTTCTTCGACCTCAGTTTTTGTACAATAAAGGACGTCTCAACGGCCAACCCAATAAAGCAGATTTTGAAAGGGAAAACCAGAGCTGTTCTTCGACGATTAACCTTCCCCTAAACATTTGGTCCTTCGAGCCGGATTAAGATTGACAACCTGAGATCATCCTCTTAAGGCGAGTATTTCCTTTTTATATGTAATTGCAAAGCGAGCAGCCGAGTCTCGGCTGGCGAGTCGGCTGATGTGGGCTTTCGCAGCGCCCGGCGATGTGGGACGCCCGATGAAGCCATCACAAGCGTCAGCGGCCGACGGCCGGCAAGTACCCAGCACAGGCGTCGACGGCGGGCGGCCGCGGTCGACGACGGCCAACGACTCATTACGGGCGTCGATGGCGGATGGCCGCCATTGACGACGGCAGCCACCTTCGGCTATGCGCTTCGACGGCGGGTGGCCACTGTCGAAGATCGACTCGAAGGCAAGATATTGGCGGAGTCGGTGTCCAGTCGGGTCGAATGAGAGAGAAAGACATGGGTCAAGTGCTGCAATTTAGCAAAATACTGAGGGAAGGACGTCGCTGCCGTTGCAGCCGGAAGCCATTTCAGCGGCCATGATTACCACTACGAGGTTGGATGAGGGGCGCCCTCTCATGGTGGACCTCAAACTATTAGCCAGACTACAGCTGCGAGCGCGCAGCCATCGTACTGCTAAATACTTCAGAGTGAAAGCACTCGCGCCTTTTACGAGGTACCCGAGCACCGCTCTCTTTCTCTCTCCCCCCTTGCTCACTACCGACGGGGCGACCGCCCAAGCATTATAAAATCAGTGCGAGATGGCTAAGGATAAGACGGATAAGCCCGGCAAGCCAGGAGAGAGAGTCGAGCGCGCTCTCTCAAGTGCTTCATTGGCACGCACAGTTAGTCGGTCGTCGAGCACTCGACTGGCCGTTGGTCTTTCCAATCCAGGCGACGGGTCGGCTGTGCTCGACCGATTGAGGCCAGGAGAGGCGTGCTTCGCTCGCGCGCTGAACCCGAGCGCCGAGCGGTCGGCCCCGGGGGTCAGTCGGCGAACTTACACGATCCTGCTCCTGATAACCGGCCACATGCTTACTTCCTCCGACTTTTCTTCACAGATGGAATTGGTCGTCATTCAGAAGGCACTTCTGAAGTCTCTCCAGAACACGGCGGAGAAGGTAGCTGCGGCGCCGGCCACCAGCTGGACGCCGGGGTCAATTCAAGTGCGCCTTGACCTCTTGGAGGGGTATTGGCGAAATTTCAACCACAACCATGGCATCCTTCTCTCCTCGACAGAAGAATCGGCCCTCGGATACCTCGCCGGCGACGACTTCACCACGGGAGAAGAATTATACTTCGAGAGCCGAAGCGTCTTGCTCGACAGCCGGTCCCGCTGCGCCTCACTAGAGGCTGGCAGAATGTCCGCGGCGGCCTCGTCGGCATCGGCAACAGATATGGACGTTCCGCTGTCGAAACTTCCTCGCTTGACACTGCCTACTTTTAGCGGCCAACCTGAAGAGTGGGAAACGTTCCGTGACCTGTTTGTTGACCTCGTCCACAACAATGGCTCCCTTGGAGACGCCACGAAGGCCATGTTTCTAAAAACCAGTGTCGAAGGTGCCGCCGCCGATGCACTGCGTAGCTTCCGCACCGTTGGCAACGACTACATTTCAGCCTGGGAGGCCCTCTGTCGGCGCTTTGACCAGCCGAAGCTTCAGACCCGTGACCATCTAGCCGCGCTCGTTCACCTGAAGTCGTTGGAGGAGGAGACCCCGGAGGGACTTTTGATGCTTCTCGACGAGCTGAACAAACGTTGGTCACAGCTCGAGAGACTCGGACAACCGGTAGTTCATTGGGACGCATGGTTTGTCTTCCTCGGCGGCCAGGCCACGGACCCTCTTACTCGGCGAGCCTGGGAAGAGGAGCTCGAGCAAGATGCAGCGGCAGAGAGTAATTCAAGCCAGAGCAACGTAACCTTCCGACGGTTCGCTGATTTTCTGCAACGACGATACCGCACATTGCGGTCCATTTCATCGGTTTCCACCAGCAGCTCATCATCTTCATGGACTAACAAACGGAAGTTGGCCCAGCCGAACGTCCCCAAGACCATTCGGGCTCACGCGACGGGCGCCCACCACGGAAAGGGCGGTTGCCCCGCCTGTAAGGAAGCCCATTACGTTGGACATTGTCTCACGTTTCGAGGTCTAGACCCAGAGGAACGCCGGCGACTTGTCGCTACACGAGGACTCTGTTACAACTGCTTGGGCAGTAACCACACTGCTCGTAATTGCCTCTCCAGTGGTACCTGTCGAAGTTGCGCAGGAGCGCATCACACCCTTATCCACGATGGAGCAGGACGATCAGAGCACCAGGAGAACGAAGAGCCCCAGCCAGCCGTCCGGCGCGACACAAAGGCGCCCCGAATTCAAGCGGTCGCGACGCAGGCGAGTCATACCGACGACGCCGGGCCAGCATGACTGGCAGTCCTCCCCACCGCCGTAGTGACACTCAGCGACGGCGGAGCCTGTGAGGCGACAGTGAGGGTCCTTCTCGATCCCTGCGCAGAGGCCACCCTCCTCAGTTTGCACCTCGCTCGAAGGCTCGGCTGCAGGCTCAAGCGCATCAACGTCGGGATCACCAGCGTCACTGGGCCGGCCATGGACTCAGCGAGGCATCAGACTACAGTCTTCATTTATGACCCTACCAGAAAGGCACTGATCAAGTTGAACGCTTTCGTTCTGCGCGCCATAAGCATCGTCACCCCTTCGGAGCCGTTCAGTGGTCGATTCGACGAGTTGCGACGGAGTCTGGTCCTTGCCGACCCGACCTTTGACCAACCGGGCCAAGTAGACGCCGTGATGGGGGCGGATGCTTATCACTTCATTATGAGCACGGGCCTTCAGCATTGCGGCTCTTTGCTCGCCCAGAACACCATCTTTGGATGGACGCTAACGGGACGCATAGATGTATCGGCAACGCAGAAACATCTCGTCACCTCTAAAGCCTGCGCGACCACTGTGCAGGTCAACGACGAGCTCAGCCATGAGAGGCTCCTGGCGCTCGTCCAAAGATTCTGGGCACTGGAGGAGATTCTCGTAGCCAAACGCGTCTCTGCAGCAAACCTGGAGTGCGAGGAGATCTACACTCGGGGAGTATGTCGAGGCCAAGACGGAAGATACGTCGTACGACTACCACTGAAGCCCGAAGTTGTCGCCCTGTTGGGAGAAAGTTTGCCGCAAGCACGATCAACCCTCGTATCGATGCAGCGACGTATGCAACGAGACCCAGAGTTGCGCAAAAATTACTGCGAGTTCATGGAGGAGTATGCTCGACTCGGACACATGCGAGCCTTGACCGCGGAGGAACTCGGTGGAAATTCGGGACCAGCCTACTATATCCTACACCACGGAATATGGCAGCGCAGTGACAAGGGACGCAAACTTCGAGTCGTGTTCAACGCCTCTCGACTCACCACCTCCGGGCCGAGCCTCAATGACGCCCTTCATTCGGGACCGAAGCTGCAAAGCCATATTTCGTCCGTCATTACCAGATGGCGACGCCACCGTGTCGTATTTTGTGCTGACGTACAGATGATGTTCCGGCAAGTCCGAGTTGACGAGAGGGACATTCACCTCCAACGAATTGTCTGGAGTCCCTCTGCAGAGGCTCCCGTTCGTCACTTTGCCCTGCAGACAGTCACTTATGGGACAGCCTGTGCCCCGTTCCTTGCACTGCGAACGATGCAGCAGTTATGTGCTGACGAGGGAGAGAACCTTCCTTTGGCCAGAAAGGTGTTAGAAAGGGACCTCTATATGGATGACTTCCTGAGTGGAGGTCATGATCTCGAGACTGCCAAACGAATCCGCGATCAACTCGTTGAGCTGCTTAAGGCGGGCGGCTTCCACCTCCGAAAGTGGGTTGCTAACGACCCGGAGTTACTAGTCGACATCTCCACGGACGATAGGCTCAGACCGAGTTGGGTCAACTTTTCGACGGGTGGTCCAGTCAGCGAATTGGGAGTCACCTGGGATCCGTTGGCCGACTGCTTCAGACTCCGAGCCATGCCTCCACTTACGAGCGGACCGCTCACGAAAAGGACAGCCCTGGCAGAGTTGGCCAGCATTTTTGATCCTGCCGGCTGGCTCACGCCTCTCACCTTAGTCGCCAAGCTCATCATCCAGGATCTTTGGAGAGCTAAATTCGACTGGGATGAGCCTCTACCCAAATCGTGGAGCGAAAAGTGGCTCGACTTTCGCACTAGTATGCAAGAGGCGTCAAATGTAACCATCGCCCGCTGGCTCGGACATGGACCTGGGCGGGAGGTGCAACTTCACGCATTCGCCGATGCCAGTCGGCGAGCCCTAGCCGCCGTCGTGTACTCGCGCACCTCCATCTCGAACTCGGAATTCAGCATCAACATCATCAGCGCAAAATCAAAATTATCGCCCATTCGAAGCCTACTTCCAGCCACCAGCACCCGTGCCAGAATGACAATTCCGCGGTTGGAGCTTCGTGCAACTCTCATCGCCGCACTGCTGCTCCAGGACGTCGCAATCGCCCTACAGGTGCCCATGACTAACTGTCATCTTTGGAGCGACTCGCAGGTCGCTCTCCATTGGATTCGGTCGGAGGACCCCGTGGGCAACGATTTGATCGACAATTATGTCGCTCATATTCAGGAGCTCACTGTCGGTGTCACCTTCCACCACGTGCCTACCGAATGTAACCCGGCCGACATCGCCTCGCGCGGCACTGTTGCGTCTCAGCTAGCTTCCCACCAACTCTGGTGGAAGGGACCAGATTGGCTCTCGGCCCCTCCCCACCATTGGCCAGAAGAGTCAGACGCTGGCAGCCCGCCGCCAGACAAAGAGATCACCACGGCCTGCACAACATCTCTGGTCGCGAAGGCGCAGCGCGGATCTCCGCAGTCTCATCTCTCTCGTTTCTCTTCCCTCGGGGCTCTACTAAGAGGCACAGTCCGTGCAATTAGATTACTGCGCGGCAAGCAGGGAACCAAGCCAGTGGCGCCAGTCACGGTCGCCGAGCTGCGACGGGCTTTTATTTTGAGCGCCAGACTTTCTCAAGGCTAGACCTTCGCTGAGGAAATCAAGGAGCTTCGGCTTGGACGCCCCCTCCGAGGGCACAACCCTTTAAAACCACTGGAGCCTTACCTCGACGATGACGGAGTTTTGAGAGTGGGCGGACGGCTGGACCACTCTCTTCTGCCATATGACGAGCGACATCCCGTTCTTCTCGACGGACGCTCGCATCTTGCCCAGCTGGTCGTTCGGTGGGCCCACGAACGCAGTCTCCACGGAAGCTTCAGAGCCACCTACGCCAGGGCGCTTCAAAAGTCATGGATCACCGGCGGCAAGTCGCGCGTGAAGAAATTTCTGCGTCTGTGCCCTGTGTGTGCTCGCCTTTCCGCTCGCACTGCTTCTCAAATGATGGCACCGCTGCCCCCGGCCCGAGTGACACCATCGCGTCCTTTCGCCAAATGCGGGGTGGATTACGCAGGTCCATTTTCGCTTTGTCGCAGCAAGGGCAGAGGAGTTCCTACGATCAAGGGCTACGTAGCTCTATTCGTGTGCATGAGCACGAAAGCCATTCACCTTGAGTTAGTGGGAGACTTGACCACCGCCAGTTTTCTTGGGGCACTGACACGCTTCGTCGGTCGCCGAGGTCGCCCTGCAGAGATATGGAGCGACAATGCGACCAACTTTCGCGGTGCTAGTCTGGAACTGAGCCGCCTCCTACGAGAAGCCGAGATCGATTGGGGTCTAGTGGAAGGCGAACTCGCTCAAGAGGGAATTACTTGGCGATTCATCCCACCGTCGGCACCTCATTTCGGCGGTCTTTGGGAGGCTGGCGTGAAGTCTATGAAAAGACACTTGCTTCGCATCGCCGCTTCACGCCGCCTCACCTATGAGGAATTCACCACTCTCTTGGTTTCCGTCGAGGCTCTTCTCAACAGCCGTCCTCTCGTGCCACCGGCTGGGGACCTGGGAGACTTGGAGGCCCTCACACCAAGTCACTTCCTGATTGGCACGTCGTCCACGTCTTATCTGCAGCCCAATCCCTCTACAGACAAGATCAACCAGCATCATCATTGGGAGCTTGTCCAAGCGATGAGGGGACACTTTTGGGACCGGTGGAGCAGGAAGTATTTGAACACGCTCCTTCAAAGACCGAAGTGGAGAAAGCCGCAGCCCAACCTTAAACCAGGCGATGTAGTTGTCATTGTAGATCCTTCGCTTCTACGGCCGGATGGGCGCTGGCCTCTCGGCCGAGTGATTGCCACCCACTCCGGGTCAGACGGTCTGGTGAGGACCGTTACTGTTCGGACCGCTGGGGGCGAGTACACTCGACCAGTCGTCAAGATTGCCCCTCTCCCTATCAGAGACGACGCCATCGAAGAGAGACCAACCGACTAGTCTTCTTCGTTCCTGGAACGAGGCGGGCGGGATGTTTGGGTGATTCTCATGAGCGCCGTCGCCGTCTGTGCGCCAGAGGCCGGCGGTGGTGGCGACATCTCGAGCAGTTTGACCGTCCCCCCTTTTTTTTCGCGCGGTCTTCTCTTGTACTTCTACGACCTCAGTTTTTGTACAATAAAGGACGTCTCAACGGCCAACCCAATAAAGCAGATTTTGAAAGGGAAAACCAGAGCTGTTCTTCGACGATTAACCTTCCCCTAAACAAATGCTTTTGACAATAATTCAAAGAAGTTGATCAAAGAAAATACAGAAACTAGAACTTTGATGAAAAGTGTACTTCTGTTTTAACTTTAATTAGAAATTATTATAATTTTATTTGAGATCAATAGAAACTATAGTAAAGCCGCGTTGGAACATAAAGTTTGTTGGAACATAAAGTTGGAACATAAAGTTGGAACATAAAGAAAGTAATAGTTTATGGACTTTAAAGCTCCTGTAAAATTATGTTCAGACTTCCAATAGAAAAATATCGTTGGTTTAGTTTGGATGATAAAACTGATGTTACTTAGATGCTTGATATAATTCACAAACCTGCTGGCAATATCATTTATTAATTGCAGTGTACTTGATTTACTGTGAAAATCCAATGCCATTCTTTCTAGTATTAGTGAATTTTGAAAAATTAGATACATGACGTGCCAAATTTTTTAAAGCTGTATTTATTAAATGATATTGGCAGCAGATTTTAGAATTAGATCAAGCATCAAACGTGTACTTATGTTTTAAGACATGTTTGTTTTAACAAGAAGAATTTGTTTGCAACCAAAATAGAGAAATGTTGATAAGGAATAAAATTTACCAGGTAGATGCTATTTGAATATAAGTATTTATCTGATAAGTTGGACATACCTTGGAAATTTTTATTCGTGTATAATGTAATGCTGATTTTGCTTTTACACAAATTGTGATTGTCGATAGTCTCACCAATTTTTCATAAGTTTCAATGTTCTTCTTCAAAAGCTTTGTAGTATATATTCCGATAAAAAGGTTTTTGTTTAGTTTCTGATAATCTAGAAAAGTTAATAATTCTTAATTTTTCCCTTCGAGGTTTTTTATAGAAGTGACAATTCCTGCATTTCCTTTAAACCAACTGACTTGAATGTCTGGATTATTAGATGTAAAATCCAAATGTATAATTATGCTTTATTTTTTATTAGGAAGCATTAATTTTCTCTAAATACATTTCCATTTTTTAATTCTCTTCATTTCTGTGATCTTACTTTTCCAATAATTTTTCCAATAAATTATTTTCAAAATGTCATTCAAACGAAGAATGTAATTTCTCACAGGTTATTCATAGGTTCAAATAGTAAATTGTTAAATGTTTAAATAAAAATGCGACGTCGTACATATAAAAATTATCATGGAAATGGAGTGAGTATTTTTTTATCTGTACTTAAATTTAAAAAAATATATTGCTCATTTCGATATTTAATACAGACTGGGCGTATTCCTCATATAACGAGAAATAGGTGGAATCAAAGAGAAGTCGTACAGAATCAAAATGATTACATCAGGGAAGAAGAAATATTAACCGAGAGTGCTGACGAAGATGAACAAATGGATTTCATAGATCAAGACGTAAGTTTTCTAGTTTAACAAGTTTATAATTTCGTTGAAAATTTGAAGAAAAGTGCACGATGTTTTGCGCATACTTTGCCCATCACTTGCAACGACCGCGCGAGATGAGCTTTTATTTATTTATTTTACTTATTTTTCATGTTAAAATAATTATTCGTGCGTAGTAGCAATGAGGTCTTTTTCTTAAATCACGTGCATTACGGGCGCTTTGTATACTTGTCTATTTTTCCATAAAATCATTTATATCATGAGTGTTTCGAAAACTTATTAGTACGAATTGTATAATGAATGGACTAATGAAAATGAGTACTTTTTTCAGGATAGCGATCATATTCTCTCCGTGCTCAGCTCTCTCTCAACTTCTACTTGGATATCGACTGTCGTATCGCGGAATTCTTGTGACGCGGCCGTAGGATTGAGGAGCGGATGAGTTAGAGTAAATCGACGAGTTTAAGTGATAGGTTTTATTTCAAAAAACTGAACTGCTCATCTTCGGTACAAAATCAGAACTGCCCGCTTAAGGGAACGCAGCCCTTATATACCCGTTTGAAGGCGTGTATTAGAAGAAAGTGACGCAGGCGCTTTCTACAATTAGAGGTGATGCTTTCGCTTTCTAAAAATGAATTATAGGCCCTTGGGATATAAATCAGGATTAGAAAGTGGAGTTAGGAATAGAAAGTGAGGATTAGGATCAGCAATAAAACTAATGGATTAGAAAGTAGAAAGTGCAATTAGGATGGGAACCTGAATAGTTCCTATTAGTGACGCATCGCCATTAGGACTCCTCATCAGCGGGGCCTCCGACACCTTCCCACATCAGAAAAGTTTGCGACTCTCTAGGTCGTAAACTTGCCGAATCGTTAGCGTTAATTGTTGAGGGGCGTAGTAGACCGTGTTGGGGTAGATCAGAGCGCTTGGTTGTATTATCGGTGAAGTACAATTTATAAAGATATTGGTGCATGGCGAACAGAGCCATTTACAAAGCTTTACAATTTGATCAAAAATGTAGCTAAATATATTAAGTCTGTAGAATATTGTAAGCAGTATAATGCCTAATGAGGTGTATCCGGCGTATTGCAGTATGTTGTATCCAGTGTTGATCCAGGTACGATGTTTGTGATCCTGTACTATGATGTCCAAATTTTCCACTAGGTCGTCTAGTTTTTGGGCGGTATTGTGTATGGTGATTAAGTCTAGGTGCCTTCCATGCAAGATTGGCGTTTTTAATTCTGTTGAATTCAGCAAAAATAACTCTATATTGGAGAATGTCACATTGATTTTATATGACTTGGATATCGTATCGTTCATGTGGCTCCTGGGCAAGTAAATACTGTCTGGTGATGTACCTCTACATTGAGGGTGTATCTCCAATATCGAAGCTTGTGTGACGGATATGGTGGTATCACTGAAAGTGTTACATGTGATGGTAATTATCTCAGGCTTTACTGGCAAGATGTACCACGAATATCCGTTAGTTAGCGAGTAGATATAGCTGTCACTTAAAGAAAAGTACTTCTTTGTACACCCTTCGTCTTGTTTTCTTCGTACTAAATTTGCGTAGCATCCATGTTCTTCGATGAATCTGTGAATCAGATGCTGTAGCTCGCATAGTCTAAAATCGTACAGGTCTACGCAGTATTCTTTATTCACGGTGGTATATTCGCTTGCCTCAGCGTTGATTGCCACTGGATTGGTATTGATGTTTTCGTAGATGTAGAACTTCGTCCATCCGCTCATAGGAATCGGAGTGAATTGATAGACGTCATAAGGTGGCCCCATTGGTATTGGCGTGTGAATAACGTAAGTCAACCTGTTGTGCGACAGCATGATTTTCACTTTACTCACTAGTATGTACATGGTGTAATACTGTAATTCCAACGGGAATGGAAGCTCTCTGAAGAATAAATTGCTTTTTATCGCCTTTAGTTCATTTAAGAAACTGGTTAGAGTTACTAGCTGTGGTGGTACGGTACCTGTTTTACCGTTATAGATGGCATTATTTAATGTGGAGATCAACTGATCGAACTCATCAATCCGCATTTCTGTGGCTGATATGCTTTCCATCAAATTTGAATTAAACGCGTTGGCGTTTATCCGAGAACTCCCATTGATTACGAGCTGCTCTAGCGTTTCTATATTGCGTTTTTGAGAGTTGGAGAATGTCTCAAAGTTCATTAGAACTGACTTCACTATGACCGTCTGATTCTTCAGTAGAGTGACTGCATCCGTTGTGTACTTATTTACGTCATCGATTTGTTTATTTATTGCTTCCGCATCGTCGGCAGACATTGTTCCTGATAGGAACTTGCTAATTGATCCAACTGCGTTAAGTAGGCCTCTTTTTTGCCTACCGCCTAGATCGATTAAGCTGCCAAGGTTAAACATCCTCGTACTGATCTTCCTTTTCAAGGCTGCTACACTTATCCTATGGTTACATTCGGGATATTGGCCACAATACCTTTCGAGATCACTGGTGAAACGTAAAAGTTGATCGCCTTCTCTGGCTGCTTCTTGAAGATCCACAAAATGAATGGTCGTCCAAACTTCATGATAAAATCTTGCCTTGAACAGCTCCTCTCTTAATATGGGTGTGTCCATGGGGATAAGCGTATAGGGCTTGTCAAGGCCCCATGCGAAACTGACCCCTGAGAGTATAAGTATCACCAGCATCTGAGGAAATAAAATTATTCCACAAAAGGCTTTGTATCGTTAATGTGCCTTTTATGTTCGATATTCTTAACCTTATATGTTAATGTGTGTGTATCGGTGTTAATATTTGTGATTAAGTATGGGCCTGCCCATACATTGGATAAAGGCGTCTTTCTCAAACTGTTCACCAAGATTTTATCGCCTGCTTTATATAGTGGTGTCGGTCCTTTTCTTCGCTGCGACACTTCTTGTTCGTATCGGGTCTTGCTTCTAAGCAGATTCGACCTTATGTCTTTTAATTTATCTAGGTGATTTCGTTGAAATTCATCTACGTATCTAGCTGCGTCCTGGGATTTTAGTTGAAGAGTAGGAAGATGTGTTTGTAGATGGGTTTTTCTGAAGTACATAGCTTTCATGGGTGCGTAGCCGGTTCCGTTATTCGTCATGTTGTTGAATATGAACTGTATTTTCTTCAGCTGTTGGTCCCAAGTATCTACATGATCTTCAACTAATATTTTTATTTACTCCTTTATGGTGGCGTGCGCTCTTTCTAAAGATCCATTAGAAGCAGGGTGTCCTGCAGCTATGATTATTGGCTTGATCTTGAGGTGTTTGATGAAAATCTTCATAATTTCCGACTGAAGACCTGGTGCATTATCCATGATTATTTCTTGGGGCGCACCGTATAAATAAACGTAATTGTTGAGTAAAACATTGGCAGTCTCGCGGCCGCTAACAGTTTTAATCGGAACAAGAGTTAGGAACTTAGTCAATTGGTCCTGTATGCTGAGAATATAATGGTTTCCGTTTATAGAAGCTGGTAATGGCCCGACGTGATCGATTGCAATCCTCTCACCTAAGCATCTTGGAGGATGTATCAGCACACCATCTGCCTGTGTGTTAAATTGGGCTCGCTTCGTTATTTGACAATCCTTGCATTTCTTCACAAAGCTCTCAACATCCTTTCTGCAATTTACCCAGAAGTACTTTGACGAAATTAAATCGAAAGTTTTATTGATGCCAAAGTGACCATTTTCCGGACCGTGATATAACTTTAGAATCTCCAACTTTTCCGCTTCCGATTTTACCTCAGTAGTCGTAGTTGTTTTCAGGACGACTTCATGAGGTACATCGAACCTGGTGTATAGGTATTTTAACATCCGGGTAACGATATACTTAATATTATTATCTAACAAGGATAAGTCGTAACACGTAAGGGCAGTGAGGCTAATGATGTGACCTTTTAATTTATTAAAAGCCACACATGGCTCATCATCGTTTTTAATAACGATGTCGTGATCGATTCCTATGACAACTGTCGTCAACTTAGTGTGCGTTACTTCACGTATCGGCCGCAATACGGTGCTCCTATAGGTATGCAGGTATTCTTCAAAATCTTGATTTTCATCGCTGCGCGTGTGCGCGGCGTATACTTTCCGTGACAGCGCGTCCGCATGAGTTATTACGGATCCTTTCTTGTATTCGATCTCGTAATCATACTCCTCCAGCTTTAGTCTCCAGCGCATTAAACAGGATGAAGGGTCTTTGACACTCATCAACCATTTTAAGGGTTTATGATCTGTTATAATCTTGAAGCGTTTACCATATAAGAAATGCCTAAAATGCTTGACTGCCCATACTATACCTAGCATTTCTCGTTCCGTAGTACTGTAACACGTTTCTGCGTCATTCAGTGTCCTAGAGGCGTAAGCGCATGGTCTTTCAAACTTACCATGCATCTGTGAGAGTACGGCACCTAATTCTTTGCCGCTAGCGTCCGTACAGAGGATAAACATCTTGTTGTGATCAGGATACGCTAGAACGGGTTCTTTTATCAGGGCCTCCTTCAGGCGCTGAAGGCTTCTCTCTTGTTTTTCAGTCCAAGCAAATGCGCTCTCTTTCTTCAATAGATCTGTCATCGGTTTGGCTATTTTGCTGAAGTCCTTAATGAACTTCCGATAATAACCAGACAATCCAAGAAAGCCTTTTATTTCAGTTGGGTTGGTGGGCGACTTGTAATCGCTGATCGCTTGGATCTTGTTCGGGTTAGGCTTAACCCCATCTTTTGTTATAACGTGTCCGAGGTACTCTAACTCGGGACGTAGATACTCGCATTTGTCGGGCTGTAGTTTCAAATCGTACTCTCTTAGTCGAAGTAGTAGTGTCCCTAGCCTTTCGTTGTGTTCATCTAAAGTTCTTCCAAAGATGATAATATCGTCGAGAAATACATAGCAGATTTTGCCTATCAAACCGCGCAGTATGTAGTTCATCGCTCGCTGGAAAGTGACGGGCGCGTTCTTCAAACCCATCGGCATTCTCTTAAAGTGGAAGAGGCCATCTGGAGTGGAAAATGCCGTTAATTTTTTTGA